TATGCTCCCCCTTGCCTGCCCTTTCCCTTCACTGTGTCCCACCCCACTGCTGCCCCTGCCTATTCCATTTTGCTTTTTGCCAGTAAATTGCTGCGGCAGCAAAAAGCGGTGGCCATTTGTATTCTAATGAAGCACTAGATATTTAAATCCCCGCTTCATTAGCAATTTTGGTATGTCTAATTTACATCTCTCTGGGACAGAGGGATGTAGTCTGCCTGCCCTTTCCCTTCACTGTGTCCCACCCCACTGCTGCCCCTGCCTATTCCATTTTGCTTTTTGCCAGTAAATTGCTGCGGCAGCAAAAAGCGGTGGCCATTTGTATTCTAATGAAGCACTAGATATTTAAATCCCCGCTTCATTAGCAATTTTGGTATGTCTAATTTACATCTCTCTGGGACAGAGGGATGTAGTCTAGACATATCCCTAGCGTTATCATGACCACATGCAGATGTATTTAGATTTTATTCCTATACCGTCTCCACACTAATGGGCACCTTCCAAAACTCAAGCTCTTTTGACATGCATTTAAAAACTCAAAGGAATCTAAAATTAAAATTGTCCCTAGGTGAAGCACTTCTTCTGTTTATCCCACCAAACTTTATTTCATCACTACTTCCATTACCAATACAACTTCAAAAAACCCCATTGGGCTCCCACCATTTAAATTCTGGACTGAACTACTTCAACTATTTGCGGATGTTAGTTCAGAGTTGCGTGCACATGCAAACTCAAAAGTTCAGAGGCAGATGCACAGGTGTCAGCAAAAATATGCACATATCCAGCCGTGATTGTAAGTGTTGTATACTAGCAGAAATACCCAGCATCGCCCGGGGAAAATATAGTAGAAGGTGTGATGAATGAACTACGTCAGTTACATTAACATAGCATATTTTATTGGAAATACTTTTCTCTGATATATTACATTAAGAAATTAACATAGCTAGTGATGTACTTACAAAACTACAAATCCCATAGGGTCTCTTTTCTCAATCCCCACAAATCAGGAAGGCCTATCTTCCCTTAAAGACTCTATGTAAGCCAATGTCTGCAGCCTCCTTCCCAGAAACCCTGAGAAATGGAGAGGCTGTCTCCTAGGCTCTGCAGCAGCAGCAAATCGCTGCTCCCCAAGTAGCTACTCCCCAGGTGCCTTCAGTGCATGCTCCATGGGACAGCCTGAATGGACTTCCTAGCGGCAGCTAGACCAGTTGCATTGATCAGACAAAGTGAAAGACCTTCAGACCAGGTGCAATTAGTGATCAGAACATGCAGCACTTGAATGTACCTCTTCTAATGAGAATAGGCTGTTCTGAGTGTACCGTGTCCTCCTCAGGCTCCACGGTGCTCCTACCTACCTCCTCTTTGTACTGTGAGCTGAATCCTGCAAAGTGCATAATACCTGTGGCACTTGCTGATAACACACACAGCCCTGCCAGGAGAATGCATGCAGCCCAAAGGAGGGCGAGTAATGGGGTGGCTCATTTGGGTGTGGGGGGAGGGAAGCAACTTTAATTTCCAGAAGGGGTTCAGTCGGAGTCCAGCTGCGTGAAGATGTTGAGAGGCTGTGATAGCTGGAGGCTTCTCCCAGCCACAATTAGTAAGGACAGACCCCAGCCATCATCAGCCACATTTGGGGCT